GGATGGGAGTGGGATTGGATTGGGATTGGGTCGGGGTTGGGATGGGATTGGGATGGGATTGGGATTGGATGGAATTGGGATGGGATTGGGATTGGGATGGGATTTGATGGGATTTGATGGGATTTGATGGGATTGGGACGCGATTGGGGTTTGATGGGATTAGGACAGGATTGGGATTGGGATGGGATTTGATGGGATTTGATGGGATTGGGACGCGATTGGGGTTTGATGGGATTAGGACAGGATTGGGATTGGGATGGGATGGGATTGGGATGGAATTTGGATTGGGATGGAATGGGATTGTGATGGGATTGGGATGGGATTGGGATAGGATTGGGATTTGATGGGATGGGATTGGGATTGGGATGTGATTTGATGGGATTGGGATGGGATTGGGATAGGATTGGGATTTGATGGGATGGGATTGGGATTGGGATGTGATTTGATGGGATTGGGATGGGATTGGGATAGGATTGGGATTTGATGGGATGGGATTGGGATTGGGATGTGATTTGATGGGATTGGGATGGGATTGGGATAGGATTGGGATTTGATGGGATGGGATTGGGATTGGGATGTGATTTGATGGGATTGGGATGGGATTGGGATAGGATTGGGATTTGATGGGATGGGATTGGGATTGGGATGTGATTTGATGGGATTGGGATGGGATTGGGATAGGATTGGGATTTGATGGGATGGGATTGGGATTGGGATGTGATTTGATGGGATTGGGATGGGATTGGGATTGGATGGGATTTGGATGGGATTGGGATGAGATTCGGACAGGATTGTGATGGGGTGGGATGGGATTGGGGTTGGGATGTGATTTGATGGGATTGGGATGGGATTGGGATGGGATTCGGACAGGATTGTGATGGGATGGGATGGGATTGGGATTGGGATGTGATTTGATGGGATTGGGATGGGATTGGGATAGGATTGGGATTTGATGGGATGGGATTGGGATTGGGATTGGGATGGGATTGGGATGGGATTTGATGGGATTGGGATGGAATCGGGACGGGATTGGGATTGGGATTTGGATTGGGAAAGGATTGGGACGGGATTGGATGGGATTGGGATGGGATTTGATGGAATCGGGATGGGACTGGGATGGGATTGGGATTTGATGGGATCGGGACGGGACCTTTCCCTTCCCTCCCTGCAGACCGGGAGAAGCGGATCAGCCTCCCGCAGATCCCGGCCCCGTGAGTGATCCCGGCCCTTTTCCCGGGACTCCCGGCCCCGGCACGGGGTTGGGATCCCGCTGATCCCGCTGATCCCGCTCCTCATCCCCCGTCCCGCTCCCTGAGCCTCTTCCCGCCCTCAGGAATCTGGGAGAGAGGAATTCCAGCGTTTCCCACGGCGCCAGCGGCGGTGAGCTCGGCTCTGCCCCTTCCCCAAATCCCGCGGGATTCGGGATCGCGGGATTCGGGGATTTGGGATTTTGGGATTCAGGGATTTGGGCATTTGGGCATTTGGGAGCCGTTCCGAGCGGGATTTGGGATTTGGGAATCTTGGGATTTGGGATTTGGGAGCCATCCTGGGGCTGTGGGATTCAGGATCGTGGGATTTGGGGGCCATTCTGTGCAGGATTTGGGATTTTGCGATTTGGGATTTTGCGATTTGGGAGCCATCCCAGGGCCGCAGGATTCAGGATCTTGGGATTTGGGAGCTGTTCCGTGCGAGATTTGGGATTTGGGGATTCGGGAACGCGGGATTTGGGATTCTGGGATTTGGAATTTTGGGATTGTGGGATTTGGGGTTTGGGTTTTGGGATTAGGGATTTGGGATTCGGGAGCCATTCCGTGCAGGATTTGGGATTTAGGGATTTGGGATCTTGGGGTTTGGGACCCATTCTGGGGCCGTGGGATTCAGGATCGCGGGATTTGGGAGCCATTCCAAGCAGGATTTGGGATTTTGGGGTTTGGGATTTGGGAGCCATTCCGTGCAGGATTTGGGATTTTGGGATTTTGGGATTTGGGATTTTGGGATTTGGGATTTTGGGATTAGGGACCAGTTCCATGCAGGATTTGGGATTTGGATTTGGGATATTGGAATTTTAGGATTCAGGACCAGTTCCATGCAGGATTTGGGATTTTGGGATTTTGGGATTTTGGGATTTTGGGATTCGGGACCAGTTCCATGCAGGATTTGGGGGGGCCGGACTCCCCCAGCTCTTTTCCCGAGGGTTGGGATGCATCCGAGCATCCCGGAGGAGCGCCGGATCCTCCGGAGCTGCCGGCAGAGCTCCCCCACCCGCTGAGCTTCCCGATCCCGCTTTTCCCGCTTCCCGTTTTCCCGCAGATTCCGAGATCTACGCCGAGATCCTGGACGAGTCCTCGCGGCCGAGATCCGGAGGTTGGCGCTTCCCTCGGGAATTCCCCACGGGACCAAATTCCCGCCCCGTCCTCAGCAAAGCTCTCGGAAGGTCCCGGAGGATCCGTGGGGGCGGATCCCTGGAATTATGGAGAGGGCGGGGTCCCTGGATCCCTGGGGATGGATTAGGCAGGATCCATGGATCCATGGGATGATGGATTGGGCAGGATTCCAGGATCTGTGGAATGATGGAGAGGGATCCCAGGCTGGATCCCTGAGGATGGAGAGGGCAGGATCCATGGATCCTTGGGGATGGAGAGGGCAGGATCCAGGGATCTATGGAATTATGGAGAGGGCGGTATCCCTGGATCCCTGGATCCCTGAGGATCCTTGGGGATGGAGAGGGATCCTAGGATGGATCCCTGGGGATGGAGAGGGCAGGATCCAGGGATCTATGGAATTATGGAGAGGGCGGGATCCCTGGATCCATGAGGATGGAGAGGGCAGGATCCCTGGAATGATGGAGAGGGAAGGATCCATGGATCCCTGAGGATGGATGGGGCAGGATCCCTGGATCCCTGAGGATGGAGAAGGTGGGAATCTCTGGATCCCTGGGGATGGATTGGACAGGATCCATGGATCCCTGAGGATGGAGAAGGTGGGAATCCCTGGATCCCTGAGGATGGATGGGGCAGGATCCCTGGATCCCTGAGGATGGAGAGGGTGGGAATCCCTGGATCCCTGAGGATGGATGGGGCAGGATCCCTGGATCCCTGAGGATGGAGAAGGTGGGAATCCCTGGATCCCTGAGGATGGATGGGGCAGGATCCCTGGATCCCTGAGGATGGAGAGGGTGGGAATCTCTGGATCCCTGGGGATGGATTGGACAGGATCCATGGATCCATGGAATGATGGAGAGGGATCCCAGGCTGGATCCCTGGGGATGGATTAGGTGGAATCCATGGATCCCCGAGGATGGATTAGACAGGATCCCGGGATCCTTGAGTATGGAGAGGGCAGGATCCATGGAATGATGAATTGGGCAGGATCCCTGGATTCTTGGAATGATGGAGAGGGATCCCAGGCTGGGTCCCTGGGGATGGATTGGGTGGAATCCATGGATCCCTGAGGATGGAAAGAGAAGAATCCCTGGATCCATGAAGATGGATTGGGCAGGATCCATGGAATTCTGGAGAGGGCGGGATCCATGGATCCATGAGGGTAGGAAGAGCAGATTCCATGGATCCTTGGAATGATGGATTGGGCAGGATCCCTGGATCCTTGGAATGATGGGTTGGGCAGGATCCATGGATCCCTGAGGATGGAGAGGGATCCCAGGCTGGATCCATGGAATGATGGAAAGACCAGAATCCCTGGATCCCTGAGGATGGATGGGACAGGATCCCTGGATCCTTGGAATGATGGAGAGGGTGGGATCCCTGGATCCCTGAGGATGGAAAGAGCAGAATCCATGGATCCATGGAATTATGGAGAGGGCAGGATCCCGGGATCCCTGGGGATGGAAAGAGTGGAATTCATGGATCCCTGAGGATGGAGAGGGTGGGATCCCGGGATCCCCGGAACGATGGATAGCGCCGGATCCCTGGATCCTCACGGTTGGACAGGATCATTTCCCTAGCTTTTCCCGGCCGGATTCATCCCAGGGAATAAAATCCGGGAAAATAAAATCCGGGATATTAAAATCTGGGATAGTAAAATCCGGGATAATAAAATCTGGGACAATAAATCCGGGATAATAAAATCCGGGATAATAAAATCTGGGATAACAAAATCTGGGACAATAAAATCCGGGATAACAAAATCCGGGATATTAAAATCCAGGATAATAAATCCGGGGTAATAAAATCCGGGATAATAAATCCGGGATAATAAAATCCGGGATAACAAAATCTGGGACAATAAAATCGGGGATAACAAAATCCGGGATAACAAAATCCGGGATATTAAAATCCGGGATAATAAATCCGGGATAACAAAATCCGGGATAACAAAATCTGGGATAATAAAATCTGGGATAATAAAATCTGGGATAATAAAATCCGGGATAATAAATCTGGGATATTAAAACCTGGGATAACAAAATCTGGGTCAATAAAATCTGGGATAGCAAAATCTGGGATAATAAAATCTGGGACAATAAAATCTGGGATAACAAAATCTGGGATAATAAAATCCAGGATAATGAAATATGGGATAATAAATCCAGGATAATAAAATCCGGGATAACAAAATCTGGGATATTAAAATCCGGGATAATAAATCCGGGATATTAAAATCCGGGATAATAAAATCCGGGATAATAAATCCAGGATATTAAAATCCGGGATAATAAATCTGGGATATTAAAACCTGGGATAACAAAATCCAGGATAATAAAATCCAGGATAATAAAATCCGGGATAATAAAATCCGGGATAATAAATCCAGGATATTAAAATCCGGGATAATAAATCTGGGATATTAAAACCCGGGATAACAAAATCCAGGATAATAAAATCCGGGATAATAAAATCCGGGATAATAAAATCCGGGATAACAAAATCCGGGATAATAAAATCCGGGATAATAAATCCGGGACAACAAAATCCGGGATAACCCTTCCCGCCTCCCCGCAGCCCAGCCCTTCGGAATCTCCCGCGACGCCGTCGCCCTCGGCCGCATCCTGGGAGAAGGATTCTTCGGAGAGGTTTTCCAGGGAATCTACACCGCTCCCGTGAGATTCCCGCCCTTCTCCCCGGCCCCCCAACCCCCGCCGGGCAGAAATCCGGGATTTGGGATGCGGCATTCCCGCGTTTCCCTTCTCCCGGCAGGGCGGGGAGCGCATGGACGTGGCCGTCAAGACCTGCAAGGAGGATTGCAGCCCGGAAAACCGGGAGAAATTCCTCAGCGAAGCCGGTATTCCGGGAATTCCCGTGGGGGTTTGGGGGATCCTGATGGGGTTTTTTGGGATCCTGACGGTCCTGGTGGGGGTTTTTTGGGATCCTGATGGAGATTTTTGGGATCCTGAGGGTCCTGGGTGGGAATTTTTTGGGATTCTGATGGGTTTCTTTGGATCCTGAGGGTCCTACTGGGGTTTTTTGGGATCCTGATGGATTTTTTGGGATCCTGAGGGTCCTGCCAGGATTTTTTGGGATCCTGGGGGTCCTGCCAGGATTTTTTGGGATCCTGAGGGTCCTACTGGGTTTTTTTGGGATCCTGATGGGTTTTTCAGGATCCTGAGGGTCCTCCTGGGGTTTTTTGGGATTCTGACGGATTTTTTGGGATCCTGAGGGTCCTACTGGGTTTTTTTGAGATCCTGATGTATTTTTTGGGATTCTGAGGGTCCTGGTGGGATTTTCTGGGATCCTGCTGGAGATTTTTGGGATCCTGAGGGTCCTGACAGGATTTTTTGGGATCCTGAAGGTCCTGGTGGGATTTTCTGGGATCCTGCTGGAGATTTTTGGGATCCTGAGGGTCCTGCTGGGGTTTTTCTGTGATCCTGAGGATCCTGCTGACATTTTTTGGGACCCCGAGGGTCCTGCTTGTGTTTTTTGGGATCCCGAGGGTCTCCTGGTGATTTTTTGGGGTAAGATCCTGTTCAGTGCTCGGAGCAGGGGGTGACACAACCTTGTCCCGGCATCTCCCGGTGGCTTTTTGGGAACAGGGGACCTTTGGAATTCAGGATCTGATCCAGGCCCGGAAACCCGGGACAGGATCCCAATCCCACCCCCTCCAGATCCCGGGATGGGATTATTGGATGGGGGCGGGAGGAACCTTCTGGAATCCCTGGATGTGGATCCCGATCCCTAAAAACCCAACAACCCCTTTGGGAAAAACCCCAAGACAGCTCCTCCACCCCACCCCCCCACCCCCCGCCCCGGGTCGGGATTCATCCCGGGAATCCCGGGAATCCCGACGATCCCAGCTGGGAATCCCACATTCCCCCGCAGTGCTGATGAAGAAGCTGGACCACCCCCACATCGTCAAACTCATCGGCATCGCCGAGGACGAGCCCACCTGGATCGTCATGGAGCTCTGTCCCTACGGAGAGGTGCGGCCCCCTTTTCCCGCCTCTCCCGGCGGCCCTTCCCGGAGTTCCCTGGGGAATTCCGGGGGCTGATCCGGGCGGGGATGCGGCAGCTGGGGCAGTTCCTGGAGCGTCGTCGGGCGGAGCTGGCGGTGCCCAGGCTGGTGCTGTACGCGCTGCAGGTGGGGAAGGCCCTGGCCTACCTGGAGGCGCTCAGCTGCGTCCATCGGTGAGGGAAGCGGGATTCGGGATGGGATAATTCCGGGATGGGATTCCTGGGAGGGGAGGGATGGAGGAGGTGGGCTCAGGGAAGGGTGTGGGGGGGTGGGAATGAATTGGGAATTGGGGAGGGGGAGGGGGAATTGATGGGAAGGTGCGTTGGTCA